TTCATTTAAGTCTTATGCTGGAAAAAAAAATGGAGTTCAGAATATCCAATCTATTTAATGTGTGATTAAACATCACTTAGTCAATCACATTTTCTAATTAAGCAGAATGTGTGATAATTTTGTCCTCAGTAAACAGCAATCCTTGGTATGAAATACAATACATACTTAAAAGTTTTGTAATAACCAAATAAAATCCCTATTTCTCATGCTTAGAAGTGAAGAAAACCCAGTATGACTGTTTAAGTGTGTGAGTAATCCTTCTAATGTGAAGCCATTACCTAGCCTTTACTGGGAAAAAAACCCAAACATCACTTTGAAATTTTGTATAAGGAAAGGGAGTAATTTTTTTTTCTTGAGTATTTTAAGCAGTTACAAGTTTAAAAAAAACAAAACCGAATCAAAGCCCAAAAGTCCCAAACACAAAAAACCCACAACCAACAGCAAAAGCCATCACTATATACCTTATATTCCACGCTGACGTGGTGTATAAAGCTCCTGGGAAAGAAATGTCAAAAAGCCTTTTAGAAAGCATGGCTTGGCTGCGCTAACAAGTGTCCAGTGTTTGTAACAGCTGCACAGCCATGCAACCACATCACCCGCCTGACCTGAACCATAACCCTCAATTATTCTGGGGGTGGAATTCATACCCCACTATTATCTGGGATCAAATAAGTCTGAAATGTTAAGGTGGGCACTGCTCCCTCTGTCCTGCCTCTGACCTAGGCAGCACAGGCAGTGTTTCATCGTACTAAGGGGTCCTGTTTCTGGCACTGCTCAGAAGGAAATTTTTCAGTGAGTCATCGTGCTCTTGGGTTTGTTAAACTGTACATGGAAATAGGATCACAGCCTGGGTTTGCTGACCTGTTCTTTCAGAAAAAAACTTTTAACTCACCCCTCTGGTGAGAAGCTTTAGGTTTTGTCTGACTCCTGAGAAAAACTGGGAGGACCTGGAGGAGATATCTGTGGAAATGCCTATGGACTAGGTGAGGTTTGGGAAGACAGTTCAGATGTACCTTTTCCAGGTAGAATACCAACAAGAACACTTAAAGGAGCTTTATTTGGTGCTTTTGTAAAGTACCACATTGTTATCAACAATACATAATCCAACAGTAATATATTCATAGCATTTATGTGTGTATGTTTGCCCCAAGAAAGATCATCAAAAGGATTAATTTTTTAAAGCAAACCAAAGCTATAACCTCTCCAAAGGTACACAAAAGATGGCTAGCAAATGGGATTTTTTTCTTCTAATGTGACTAAGGAGGTGAGAAGTGTAAAGCTTCTAGCCACTGTCTTTCAGATTACAAAACTTCTCTCTCACTCCCTTGCTTTGTTGCTTCTGTGTGACTTTGAGGAATAAGAACATCCCAACTACCTATATTATATTGATATGATATTTATAAATTCGTGAACATTCAAGTCATCATCCCAAAGACATGTAGGCATTGCTTTCATACATTGTTTGGTTTGGTGTCGTGGTTTTTTTTGTTTGTTTTTTTTTAAAGTGTATGCAGAAATTCTCTCTGGTATTGATACTCCTTATAAAAAAATTCTATGTCAATTTAAATTTCTCTCTACTGGAAATCAGACCAATCTTTACTCTTTATATTTTTAGATTTATGCTTGGAAAATTTTAAATATGGTCATTTTAAATAATGTAAATCACAATGAGTAAAGGTAAGTACACACTTTTAAGTGAGTTAGGAAAGTGTACTTCACTGACAGTAATTGCTCAGTGCACTCTTTCAGAGGACAAAAAAAATATTTATCTCACTGTTCCACTCATTCCCTCACAAGAATGCCTAAGAGAAACTTAAAACTCTTAATATTTTCCAGGCTATGTTTTTTAAAAGCACTTTACTCCTTATCAGAATGGGCCTTGTGTAGTGCTACTGTTATTTTGTCCTTTTTCTTTATTCAGTCTTCAAGCCATACTAATTGAATTAGGCTCCTCTAAAAAACTTCTGAACTAAAAGAGCAGTGAAACTATGGCAATATGAATTCAGCCTTGACAGAAAAAAATTAAAAAAAAAATTCTGCTCTTTTCGGACTAAGATGTAAATAAATATCACTACTTTCAAGTTAGTGGTTCATCAAAAATACATTTTTAATGCCAGGATTTTATTCTCACTTGATGTCAGTTGGACTGATATCACTGGCCCATTGAGAGTTACAGAAAAAGTGAGTCCGTCAAAATATGACAGTGCCACCTAAAATAAGAATAAGGCTTGATAAATGATGCTTTCAGAAAGACTTTATTAATGTGTATGAGCCTGTCGTTTGGGAGAATACCTTTCCACCATAAAGTGAAAAGGTTTTCCTTCACATGAACAGTCTTACCATAGTATATTAATTCTTTATAATAGCAGGCAGTCATTAAAGAAATTAAACCTTTTCCTTCAACTTGTTTTATGACATGGCTGCAGTTTCATTGAGTGCAAGGTATTACATAGCACCAGACGTTCCTCTGCAGGGAAAGAAGCAGCAGTCGCTGTAACCACTGTTACCTGCTTTCTGTTGACTACTCAGATTTTCAGGGGCCTAAGTAATGCATGCGTTGAAGGAAACCAGACACCCTGAAATTCATAACTTCAGCTCCGGTATTCCTCTGATTTAAACTGTAACACAGATGGTGCTGAATGGAGAAGTTGCCTACTTGTCTGGCCCAAACGGTGTGGCAATCCATCATCTTCCATGTGTTTCTAATCCTTTAACAATGCACAACATCAGAGATGCCTTCCTGGCCTCGCATTTATCACAAACATCATTTTGTATAATCTCCTCTTTAATGGCAATTCAAATTATATATACTGTTTTTCAAATCTTGCTTCTCATTAATTGAAAAGCTATTCATTTCTATAACTTCACTGTAAAAATAGCTTAGTAAGTAGAAATAATTAAAATGTTAATGATGTGAGAAATTACTTGGTCTAGTTCTTGTATCTAATCAGAACTGTCTCTGCATCAGATGGAGTCCAGCTTAATGTTCAGTCTTTCAAACATTGACTGGGACTATGTTTATTGTGGTGTTATGTACTGTATTTGGTAACAAATGCAAATGTTGCTGAGCTCTAGAAAAATTCTCATGTATTAGTAAGATTCTCTCTAATAGGGCAGTGATAAGGCCAGTTAAATTTTGCAAATTCTAATGAAATGGAAGGATTCTTTCTGTATTGGATGATAGGTTGCCAGAGGAAGGAACCAAACCAGTTGTCTGATCTGTGTGTGGTGTGTGACAGTGACTGGTATCAGGTGTAAGAAACCTGATGCAGTGGAAATTAGGGACTGCATTCACAAGATACTTCCCTGCGCCTGAGCAAGCAGTTGACTTCTGCTTTGAAGCAAGATTGCCTAATCGTACATGGTTTTGACTAATGAAACTCTGGCTGCTCTGATAAATCCGCAGATAAATGCCTAATCCTGTTTTAAAATGCGACTAAGTAGTTCTTTACATGAGCAGGGAACTGAAAATTCCAGGCTTTTGTGTTTTATCAGCCCATACAGCCTAATGTTAATAAACATCACTTGAGGTATCTGCTGAGGATTACAAGCTTGCCTAAACTCACGCACATCAGCTATGTATGTGCTGGAAGTGCAGCCATTGCCCCAACACAGAGACAAGTTAACCACGTTCTGTGGGCTTTACACTGAACAGTGTTTATGTTCTGTGGCTATACATTAAGCTACGCTAAGGCGAGCCGAGTACTTGTGATCTTAAAAAGTCTGGCAAGAAAATAATATCTGGCTGGGGATGAACTTCGGAAGCCTGGGGAGCATGGGGTGGTGCTGAGGGAAAGGGTGCTTGCAAATATTTGGTCAAAAGTACAACGTCTTGTTGTTTAACTAAGACATGAGAACTTGATCCACTTATTCTGTATGAAGAATATGTGCATTACCTAATGAGAACTTCAGAGAGAAAAGATAACCGGTTATTCCAGTGTCTTTCCCTGTGATTCCCTTCATAAACAGGGAAAAGAACTGGTGGGCTGTTTTTGCAGATACAACAGTAAAAGAAACCTGTGTCTTATTCCTTTTGGTTGCATACTAATGTGCTATTAATGACAGGGCTGACGACTGGAGAAATCTGGGAGCTCCTGCTTTCCTAAAATGGAAAGTTCTTGCAGAGAAGATATTTCCCTAAAGCGAGCGGTGTGTTTGAGTGTATCTAGCCCCTAGGAAGGGGAGAGAATATAATTGTCTTTATTAACTAGGATTTAAAAGCATCTTCTGAGTCCCTGCGCTCAATGCATTGCATATACATTGTAAGAAGCCAGATCTCCTCCTGAAGGACTATTCAGGAAAATAATGTTGTGATATATAAAAAACCACCAGTCCTTCCGCACAGGGTGCGGGCTGCTTGCCTGACCCTGACTTCCAATGCAAATCTCCCAAAATGCTTTCTCACTATGTAGTTGCATAACTAGTTATTCTTGTGAATTTTCCTTTCATATCTCCAAAGAGAAACAAATCTGGAGTTAACCCCTTGTGTACCAGCAGATAGTAGCATTTCGTAAGGTGTCTACATGCGTGAATGTTTGGATGTTTTCTAATTTCTCTGTTTATGCCAAATTACAATGTTACCATCTCGATGTTTAAAACTGCAAAATAACATTCCACATCACAAACACAAGTCAGATAAATGAACAAAATAATAAAAAACTTTGGATTAGTTTGAATTTTCCAAAAGTATACTATAACATAATTCTAAATATTTTATAGTATGGAGTTACTTTTGCTACTGACATTAAAATTAGAATAAACTTTCATTCACATAAATGAAGCAGTTTGCAGCCCAGTTCCCACATAAAAATACACTTTTTCTCAGGGAAAAAAAAAAAAAATCCCTTGAGGCCTGGTCTTGTTGCAAGCAATTCTGACCCAGTTCGTACATATTACTTGTAAAATTTATATCCTTTCCTCTCTCACAGGCACGGCACGAAAAATTATGGGAAAAAAATGCATTGTAGATTGCATCAGCTTTTTCTTTTTTATTCCCACAGGCACAACAGCTAACAGATCTGGAGCAAAAACTAGCGGTTGCAAAAGATGAATTGGAAAAGGCAGCCCTTGACAAAGTAAGAAGTGTGGCGTAATGTAAGCCTGTTTATCAGCTGTGAATGTTTTGTGTAATTTGACAAAAACAAATTAAAGTCTTACAAAGATTTAGATGCATATTTAATTGCACGTACCTGGGAGTAATGCTACTGAAGTCAGTGGAACTAATTATGATGCATGAAGTTAAGTACATCTGCAAAGTTACTTAAGAGCAGGGCAATCAAGTTAGAAAGAAACATCTCAAAAACCCATAAAAAGCCAAATGCTACAATTCTTTATGTGCAAAAATACAGTAACGCGAATGTGCCCATAACCAATACAATTTTATCTGAGGTTTAGTCATAGTTCCAAGTAGGATGTAGTATAAAAATGAATCAGTCTCATGTTAGGGTGGGACTGATGTCACAGAGCTAACTCTTCTGTGGACAGAGGTGCCTGCTCACATCAGGGATCAGAACTGGGAGGCTGTGGGAAATCCGAGGAAGGGGACACAGCAGGACACATTTGCTCCTGTCAGCTTTGCAACAGGGGAATTTTCTTCTAGATTTAGGGGACCTGTGAAGAAAATATCATGCAATAGGGAAGCCAAAAAAACTTCAGTACAATATTTAGACTGCTTTTTGTTTGTTTGGTTGGTTTTTTTCCTAATATTTTCAGGTTCCATTAGACATTATTAAAAAAGTATGTCACTTATACTAAAAGCTTTTTTCTTTAATCTTCAATTTTGCAATCACAAAAATCCTCCTCTTGACTGAGGAGTTGCATCCAGTGTTGCAGAATATCACATATGTAAACAGTGTTTGCAACAGCATTATCCAGAACTCTGTGTGCGTCTGGTGATATGTGTTTCTCATCAGTACACTGGACTGAACTGCTCCACATGTTAGTTTAAAATTTAAGCTTGTTCCTCCTTTGCCTGTATTACACCCAGATGTGGTTTCTCACTAGTGCCAATATACTATTCTGTAGCAATGGCAAGAGAGCAGTGGTTGTTGTAAAGATCTCTTAAATGCAGTTATTGACTGTAATTCAGACAGTTGTCAAGGAGAAAGAACATTTGACACCAGGAACTTTTAATGAGAATGCTATTAAGGGATTTGGTGTGCAAATTAAAAGGGGATTTGCAGCACACCCAACTGACTTCTCTGACCCTCTGTTACTTTCCTATTAAATATTATAGAATTTTAATTTAGGGCTCAGTTATGGTTTTGTAGGCTTACCAGAAGCCTGGTATCATCATCTTGCAAATTATCATTGACAGAGTCTTTGGATGGCATCATTGCTTACATGCTGCAAAAGTGCAATGGAAATGGCAAGCAGGAGTTAAACACAGTGTAAATTAAGGAAAAAGGCAAAGTTCATGCCAGTGAGAATTATGAAACTCTTTTATGAGACTAGAAATACTTGACTATTAGTATCTGCAGAGTAATAAGACTATTTAAGTAGCATGTAGCATTTTTCCCTTGGTTAAGAGCTTTTCTGTATGAATTAAGAGCTTAAAGGAGTTAAAGATGGCCAATGGTCCATCCGTGTCTTCAGCAAAGACTTGGCTTTAATTGTCTTGGCAATGTTAGCACACATAGTTTAAGGAATGGAAGCAATGTGTGAAGCATTGTGCGTTTTTGGAATATGAGCTGTATTTGAAAGGAATAATTGAGTCATCATATCTCAAACTGTGCCTATCAAATTGTATTTTTCTTTTGGGAGGGTATCAGGTTTTTCTATTAATTGTGCTGACAGTGGTCTTAGTGTCTCTCATAAGTCTATGTACACTACAGCACTTTTCCAGTTCCTGTGACGGACTCTTGGAAGACTGACAATGTGTCTTCAGATTTAGTAGTATTTAGCAGTGTTTTAACCAGCAACCAGCCTGTTTTGACCACAATCACATCTCTGCAAGTTGTTGAGAACTTTTTCAAAAGACATCCTTGTTTCCAATAGCGTTACTTTAAGCTGTACTCTTGTGCTGTCTGTTTATAGAACGTCTATCAGCAAAGTCAAAATTGAATTTTGCTGTCCACTGGATGCAAACAAAATAACAGCTTTTACCTTTGGAATGGCACTATGGCTGGCCATAGCCAAGGCAGAACAAGCATTGGATGGCAGGGGCAGGAGATGAGAGAATGAGAAATTATACAGAGGGGTTTCCAGACAGGAGGAGTGTGATTTGCAGGGAGTACTTGGGTCATATACTGCTATAATGACTGATATGATCTTCAAGCAAAATTAGACAGTGTGTTGCCTCTGCCAGTTTGGTGTCTGAGCTTAGCTTGACTATGTCGAATGGTGATTTATGTTCTATGTGCAGTCACTTCTTGAAAAGGTAGAGGAAAAGACATATTACATGAAAAGAAATATGCTAAGATCTTCTGTTGTCAATTAGAAATTACAAGATGCCTGAGTCAGATGGATAAAGTAATCCTTTCCCTTTTACACTGTCATTAGGTCACAGACTTATCAGTCTGACTCAAGGTTCATACATTTTAATAAGTAGTTATACACAGTGCTGTCCTCTGATGATAGTCTAGCATTCCTCCTCGCTGCTCGTATCTTAAGGGAAAGACATTCAATTTTGTCTGTTTGCAAAGAAAACAAATTCCATTCCATCTTATATGTCTTTGATTTTCCTTATTATGTTGTACATTAATAGTCTTTTTATGGTTGTCTTTGATCCTACCATTGAAATGTACCCTACTAACTGTTTTTGTTTTTTTCTCTTTAAAGAAGCACTGTCTTCTCAGATTGTCCCCATTATGGGATATATTCCCTGGTTCCAGTTCAGTGGATGCTTGTTATCAGACCTAATACATGGAATATTTTTCAGGCTCTAAAACCCAATTGATTAGCAAATAAACTAAAACCAGGTGGTGTATACTGAATGGTGGCACTTATTCATATAAGGATTCATCTAACTGTGAAATGGTTTTTTATTGTATATGTAATATTTCACATACGTAGTACGCAGTGTGTAATATGTTGTATATGCATACATTTTCCCCCAACTTTTGCCACAGTATACCTCACAATCCTTGATTTATGCTTCTTTAAAAGAAAATCTTTGAAGGTCAATACATGCTGATGCAGCCTGTATTGATAGGCAGATCCTAATACAAAGAATAAGAGCATGAATATTTTTTAAGGCCAAATGCTGCCTAACCTGACCTGAAGTGAGTATCAGGAAGTTACCTCAATATCTAAAATTTGACTCTAAGATACTTGCTGTGATGGAGCAAAGACTTAAAATGAGATTTCCCCAGTACTGTTCTTACTGTCTCGGTTTATTTCAGTGACGGACCACTATTTTCATTAATATATCTACTTGTATTTCTGTGGGTAAAATAGCAGTGTTCTAACCCAAACACTTCACCACCCTAAAAGTTTTAGTTTGGCTTGATGTACAGTAATGGGTCTGGACAATCATTTTCTTAAGAGATGGAAAGACTTGTGGTTTATTTACTATGTGGTGCAACAGCATTATATGCTTAAGGGAAGTCACCTGTGGGATTAAAATCAGTCCCTATAACCTGTGGGAAAATACCAATTATTTGGAACATTTTAAACAAAATACCATGCACAGTCTGCATCTTTGCAATACATGTGAACATCTACTTCCCTGTAACTATTATCTGTCAATGTCTGGACACTGTATGACATTTGGTAGATCATATTTTTGTTTCTTTTCAGATTAAATAATATTTTAAAATTATTTGCAATAATCAATGTGGATAAAACTGCATGGAGAAAAGGAAAGAG